ACCACTATACTAGATCCTTCTGATCTTTCTCTGGATATATATTTAAAATATAACATAATACATTAGGGTATTTCTTATAATGTGCTTTTATTATGTAACATTTTGACCACATTTCTGTGTAATGATTTTTTTTACAAATCTTTTGAAATGGTTATATGTGTTATAGGACTATAAGAAATACTGGATTTTCACAGTACTATCAGTTTATAATGCTTCCTCTAAATTTCTGAAATTGGCCAGGTATGGTGGTACATGCCTATAATCCCAGCACTTATGAGGCTGAGGCAGGAGGATCACTGTGAAGTCAAGACCTACTTGGGTTACAAAGTGAGTTCAAGCTAGCCTGTACTGCATAATGAAACCCTGCCTCAAAAAGAAAAAAAAGGGGCAACCCATTTGGGTCCCCCTTCTGTCCTTCTCTTGGACAAGAGCTTTCTTTCCCCCCAATAAAGATGATCTGCTCTTGAAGAAAAAGAAAAAGAAAAAAATTCTGAAATTTACAGTATGAAAAAAAAGTAGGGATTAAAATATAGAGTGTGCTTGATGAAGGCTATTTCTCTGGAAATTTTTACTAGAAGGGAAATTTCTTTCAGTTTGGTAAGAAAATAATACAAATTGGGTGTCTCTTCTAAAACCTGAAATGTTGCCAGGGAGATGGCTCAGTGGAATAAGCGCTTCACGGGCAAGCGCAAGGGCCTGAGTTCAATCCCCAGTTCCGAAAAAAAAAATAAATACATAAATAAAACCTGAAATGTTCCAATAGCTTAACTGTGTTGAAAATTTTATACTTTACCTGATGTGATAGCTTGGAATCAAAATGCAGGCAAACGAAATTATATAGTTTGTATATAAAATTATCTTTGAGCTATTTATTGTGTGTAATGTGAATGAATTTTATGTTTATATTTGTATGTTTCCAAATCTGAAAAAGAAATGCCAAATCCTAAATCCTTTGAAGCATTTCTTTTATTTTCCTTACTGAATACCAAGAGTGCAATATCTTTACTTGGAGTGTTCTAATCCTTTTGTTTCAGTAGAAAAAGCACTTGCCTGGCAAGCTCAAGGTCCTGAGTTTAATCCCAGTACCACAGAAAAACAAAACAAACAAACAAAGAAAACCTAATCCCTTTTGTTCTCCATGGGCAGACACTACCTCTAAGTGTATATTTATTGGCTCTTTATCCTGTTCTATGAACTTTTAGGGATAGTGTAACTTAAAGTCATATTAGGCTGACCAGATAGCTCACAGATTAAAACACCTGCTTAGGCAGACACAGGGACTGGGTTTGGATCCTGGCACCATAAACTATGCCGGCCCCACCCTCCCGAGTGTGCTGAAACAGCCACTGAGACTGGGCGCAGTGGTTCACCCTGTAATTCCCGCACTTGGGAAGTTGAAAACAGGAGGATCACTACAAGTCCAATCTGTGTAGTGAGACCCTGTACTAACTACATAATAAATAAATAAGTAAAGCCTGATATTAATTAAAACATGTTTGAGGGTATTATTACTTCAAATATTTCTCCTGTAGGTTTCTCTTTTCTTCCTTTCTTTTTTTTTTTTGGTCAGAACCAGGGATTAAACTCAGGCCCTTGCGCTTGCCAGGGAAGCACTTATTCCACTGAGCCATCTCCCCAGCCCAAGTTTCTCTTTTCTTTCTGATAATATTGTTACATTTATGGATACATTATATTGCTTTTTTCTTTTCTTTTCTTTCTTTATGAGCACATTGTATTTGTTTATTTTTATTTTTATTTTTTTTTTTCATTAAACTTTGTTTTAATAGGTCTCAAAATTCTGTGAGATTTTTGGTGAAGTTGTTTCCTTTAAAAAGTATTGATTTTATTCCCGGTTTTACAAAAAAAAAAAAAAAAGTATTGATTTTAAAAACTAATAACTTAAAAACTGCCACACACACACACACACACACAAAAATGGTCCACAAAACATTCTCCTTTCCTTCTGAAGGTTTTATGATGCATTGTTATCATTAACCAGTCTTTATTAAACTTATATGGCCAATTGGGAGAAACAGTTCTGAGACCTGTCTTCTGCCACTGATTAAGACTGGGGTAGCAGGTGTCAGGGACAATACTAATTTAGCCTTCTGAACTTTCTGGGCAGACTTGGTGACCTTTTCAGCTCCAGCAGCTTTCTTGTCCACAGCTTTGATGACACCCACAGCAACTGTCTGTCTCATATCATGAACAGCAAAACGACCCAGAGGTGGGTAGTCAGAGAAGCTCTCGACACACATTGGCTTGCCTGGAACCATGTCAACAATGGCAGCATCACCAGATTTCAGAAACTTGGGCCCATCTTCCAGCTTCTTACTAGACTGGCGATCAATCTTTTCTTTCAGCTCAGCAAACTTACAAGCAATGTGAGCTGTGTGACAATCTAGGACAGGGGCATAGCCAGCACTGGTCTGGCCAGGATGGTTCAGGATAATCACCTGAGCAGTGAAACCAGCTGCTTCCACTGGTGGGTCGTTTTTGCTGTCACCAGCCACATTGCCACGCCGGGCATTTTGACAGATACATTCTTGACGTTGAAGCCCACATTGTCCCCAGGAAGAGCTTCACTCAAAGCTTCATGGTGCATTTCAACAGACTTGACTTTAGTTGTGACATTGACTGGAGTAAAGGTGACCACCATGCCAGGTTTGAGAACACCAGTCTCCACTCAGCCCACAGGGACAGTGCCAATACCACCAATTTTATAGACATCCTGGAGGGGCAACCAACCACAAAGGCTTGTCAGTGGGGCGAGTGGGTGGGAGGATGCAATCCAAAGCTTCAAGCAGTGTGGTTCCACTGGCATTGCTATCTTTACGAGTGACGTTCCATCCTTTGAACCAAGGCATCTTAGCACTTGACTCCAGCATGTTGTCACCATTCCAACCAGAAATTGGCACAAAAGCTATGGTGCCAGGGTTGTAGCTGATTTTCTTGATGTAGGCGCTGACTTCCTTAACAATTTCCCAAATCTCTTCTGGCTGTAGAGTGGCTCCGTGGAATCCATTTTGTTAACTCCAACAATTAGTTGTTTTACACCCAGTGTGTAAGCCAGAAGGGCATGCTCACGGGTCTGCCCGTTCTTGGAGATACCACCTTTAAATTCACCAAGGCCAGCGGCAACAATCAGGACAGCACAGTCAGCCTGAGATGTGCCTGTAGTCATGTTTTTGGTGAAGTCTCTGTGTCCAGGGGCATCAGTGATGGTCACATAATACTTGCTGGTCTCAAATTTCCACAGGGAGATGTCAATGGTGATACCACACTCATGCTCGGCTTTCAGCTTGTCCAACACTCAGGTATACTTGAAGGAACCCTTTCCCATCTCAGCAGCCTCCTTCTCAAATTTTTCAAAGGTCCTTTTGTCAATGCCACCGCATTTGTAGATCAGATGGCTGGTGGTGGTGGATTTGCCAGAGTCCATGTGTCCAATGAGGACAATATTAATGTGGGTCTTTTCCTTTCCCATGTTGGCTTCGATTTAGTGTTGGCTTTCACTATGCCTGTGCTCTCGTGGCAAACTCGTTGCAAAAAAGAGAATATATTTATTGAAAGAAAGAAAGCTCCTGTCCAAGAGAGGGACGGGGGGGGTGTCTTTATTTTTATTTTTTATTAATTTTATTGAGAAACAAATAGCAGTGAGACAGCTTCAAAACTGATTAGTAGGACAGTTTCAATAATTAATACATTGCATATTGTTGTCTTCGTAGTGGTTGTTCATAGTACAAGATGCAGACATGATATCCTGTCCAAATGCAATTACTACAAATCTTTCTAATTGAATTAAGAGAAAGTAGCTGTATATCTATCCTATTTTGTATATACAGATACAAAATGGTCCATCATTAAGTTTAACATATCAATATTTGATGGAAAATACCTGTTCCATGTTACGTCTAAGATGTTGGATATTCAAACAGATAATGAGGTTAAGCTCAACTGCCTATGTTATAGGGTAAAAATATCATTAAGCTTCTCTTCCGGAGGGTTAACAACTTAACTTT